ACTCGTGTTGATCCACTCTATGGTGCTCGTGATAGGTTGGCTCGGTTTCTCGTCGTGTGTGCGGTGACGCGACAGTGCCGTGCTCGGAGAGCCGTCGCCTGCTCTATCGCACGTGGCTAGACCACCCTAGTGCCCCCGTGTTTCAACCGTCATTGGAGCGTGCACCACGGTGAGCTATTGATGCTTCTTCGCCACCTCTACCCTTCTGAGAGTGTGTAGGTTCGTCGGAATAGGCACGCCGCCGCCGTGGCTAACCGCTCGCCGCCGCCACTCCCAGCAATACGCCACTGAGTTCCCAACCGCCATCCATGCTTGTGGGTTTAGCCGTAGATGGTGGTCGGCCCTTTATTCCTGTCGCAGCGGGTCTAGCTCGCCCGGCATAATCGCCGTTGCCACCGATGTGCCACGCCATCGCGCGTGGGTATGTCGGGGACCGCCCCGTTGCGAAGGTAACATGTTCCAAGGTCCTTAATGTAAAACACGTCTCTCGTGCAATAGTGATCAGAGGTGCCGCGTAATAACCGGTTAGTCTAGGGGTTCTTTTGCAAAACACAGGCGCGCACGCGGGCCTTCTGGTCTTGGGCCATGCTGGGTCGTCGCGATGCGTGCGTGGCCGCCCCCATGCTGGGCTGCTAGGCCGCTTAAGTCGCCACCGACCCTTTTCTTTTCTAAAGCATTTCCTAAATTAGTTTCTAAAACCAAACTTATAAATTTAATAGAAATTTATGTAGTTGACCAAAAATTGTGAGACCAATTTTGTTCAGTTTCTAAAATCATGATCTACCTGTTAGTGTATTTTATTCACATAGTTTCATGGAAATTTCAAGAGTAATCTAATTAATCGGAAGCACTTAATATTATTAAAACATCAACTTGTAGGAATTATTGTGAGAAATTGGTAGTAGTGTTGGCTCTAGAATTTTTACAGAAAATTTCTAACATTATTAGTTGCTTACTGTAATTTTTGTAGCTCCATAATAATTAAATTGCTAAGGTAGTTAAAGGAGCACTAGTTCAAATATATAAATTTAATCAATAAGAAGCCAAAACATCTTAGGATTGTAGGACTAAAACATTTTTCTGGAAACAAAGCCTTACCCGACGACGTGGATATGTAGCCAAGTACGCTAGTCGTTAGAGCTAGCTCGTTAGCTTGCGAGACGTAATCATGTTTTTAGAGTTGCGGTTGTCATAGGTTAATTACGTTTTCTACGTTACATCTACGTATATTAGAATAGGAATAACGATGGATCGTGGAGTCAACCGGAGTAGCAGAAAAGATGGTGCCTTGGTGATCGTGTTGCCACGATGGGATGCTAAACCTTGGTTACCTCTTGCCCAGGCAAGTCACGGTGCATAACCCCTATTATTCTACACTTTATTTTATACTTGTGCATTAAGTTTTAAGGAGTTGAATGAAAACCACTTGTATATATATATACGTATCGGGTAAGGCTATTCTGTAGCTGGCCATAGAATAACTTATTCTATAGCCACCTTGATTTACTATAATATTTATACTAATTTACGATAACATGAATATGCATTTACGATACTCGTGTTACTAAAACTCACGGTGATATTTATGATAATGTTATAGTAAATCACTTAGTAATGAGTTACACTACAGGAAGACGGATTATTAGTGTTAAAATGATGTGGCGAAATTTATCTTTGCCACTAATGCTCATACTATTTGTGGCAAACCTAGTTTTCATCACTATTATGTTGGTTATTAGTGACAAAGTATTAATTCGCCATAGAAAACATCTTTAGTGGCAAATCAAGTAGCGAAACATTATTTTGCCACTGTTTAACATGATATCTGTGGCAAAAGAATATTTACCCCACTGATACGACATTTATTAGTGGCAAAATAAATTATCGCCGCAAGACATACAATTAGTGGCAAAATTTAAATTTGCCACTACTTGCCATACTATATGTGAAAAAAATTAGCTTTCATCACTCTTATGTTGGTTATTAGTGACAAAATATTAATTTGCCACAGAAAGCATCTTGAGTGGCAAATCGAGTGGTGAAACATTTTTTTGCCACTATTTAACAAGATATTTGTTGCAAAAAATATTTACCTCACTAATATGACATTTATTAATGGAAAAAATATTACCACAGGACACACAATTAGTGAGAAAAATATTATGATAAATCATAGTTACGACTTGCTAGCTTAATAAAAATAGGGCCCATGCATCAGCACCTTATTAATACATGTATCTAATCTAATTCATTAAACACACGTAACATACAGAAGCTATTTAAGATGGTTCCACGTGTTAGTCTATCTTTTTATTCTTCGATTCTTATAAACACAAAATACACGGGCAATACGTTGTCAGACACGTGAGTTCCTTCCTCTTCACCTGAATGCACTAGAACGCCTACACCACTCCAGATCCATCACCAGCATGCTGCACCTTTGCTCCGCTAGACTGCCACGGCAAGGCCCCCATTCCGGCCTCCTGTGCGCCAGATTAGATTTACTTGATTTAGTAGTGACATCTTCTTCATCAGTAAAAATGATAGATAACCGTCATCCGTAAAACCACATTGGCCATGTACGTCTAATTTATATAAATTGTGGTGAATCTTATCATGTAAAAGAGTGCAAATGAAAGCAAAGCTAAAAGCAGGACTATTTTTGTTGCTTTTTGCTACAAAAGAAGTTAGAAATATAGGTTGTTTCTATATAACTACAGGTTTTTCATTAGTTTGCAGAATATGGAGTAATAAGACAGTTAATGAATGAAGCAAATGAAAAATAAAAGTACAGAGCAATGAAGCAACAACAGGTCGCACGGCTAAATTAACCAATTGGTAACCATTAATTGAACAAACAGAAAATAGTACCTGCTTACTTCTGCTCGAATCTGACCAAAAAGACAGCGAATGTATGCACTAGCAAGGCCGTTTTCCTTCGCTGCTCGGCCGCAGCACGCCTGCTGCCTGTGCTCGCCTCACTGGGTTAGACCTCCGCTGTCACCACCGATGCGCAGCCTCGTTGATCACGGCGTTGATGGTTCGTGTCGGATAGGGCAGCGTCTGTTTGTCCGTTCGCGGCGGCGGCATCACCGCGAGTACGGGATGGATAGATAGGCAGACCACATTGGACTATATGGGCTACAGGGACACGAATACATGCTTGGCCCACAGGCCCAAATAACGATTCTTAAGGACAAGATGAATACATGAGTGAGTTACTTATTCGTAAAAAACAATCAGCTAAAACAAAACTAATATGGTTTGAATGTTGGTATTTGGTTTGATCTTTATGAATAGACAATTATGGTATTCTATATTATTTTTTATAAATATATAATTTAAATAATTACTTATTTATGATTTTATATATTAATCAAGTACATTCCTAATATGGTTCGAATTAGAACCATCCATTTGTATTCGTATTCAAGAACATTTGAATTCGTATGGTCCATGCTAGGGGGGGGCGGCAAATGCTTACAAGCATACACGCACACTCGTCCAAATGAGTTGCCATACTAGAATAAATTCAGGAAAATAGGATCAAGTACATCGATGACTAACATGGGGTGCCAGGTTCCACCACAAGAACCTAAACAGATGAGCTACACTCAGTTCACATGTATTGAATATCTTTGGCTGACCCCTCTATGTATAAGTCCTGTCTCCGGCCCATGATAATGGGTGTGTTTAGATCCTTGGCCGTACCTTGCATCGCCTTACTTGGCAAGGAATTGCAAGAGAGCCAGACGTTTGGTTGAGCGGCGAGTTGCTTGGGAGCCTGTGCTGGCAAGCAAAATCTTTGAAAAGAGCTCGAGAGCGCATTCGGCTTGCTCGGCTAGGTGAGTTTCTTGGATTTCGTGTAGGTGAGGCGAGTCAAGTTTCCCTGAGAAACCAAATGCACCCATATGTTTACGGTTTTTGGCTCTGTTATAATGCTACGAGGAACTCATAGACCCTTTAGTACACTCTAGCCAACTTTTGCAGTCCAGGTCCATGGAGGTCTTCGCCTTCCATGAATATATTTTGATTTGTTGTATTGGATATTAATGTTAAATTAGTTCTATATCATTGAAAGAACATTGTTTTTAGAATATACCGTTGGAAGATTTCAAGTGACACATCTTATTTGAAGAGGCTAGAAGCCGAATTTTATTCATTACCTAAAATGATTAGCTTTTTTTCAATAAACACATATATGAAAATAACATTGGCCATTAAATATTATAAATTCTACCAGTAGAAATATTATGGCCTTGTTTTTTTTTGCACCGAGCGCACCTTTTCCCTCCTTGTAATTGGTAAAAATTGTTCCCTCCAAATATCCATTCACCAATGACGCTACTTTCCCTCCAATTACTCAGTGAATTTTTTTCACTCCTGTCATATTGCATTGGACGTCAACATATATATACAGCAACAAGGAGTCCTTTTCATCTACGAAGAAATAAGCCAAGCCATTCCGTGAGAGGAGAAATAGGAAACCGTAAAGTCCGCAAGGTGAGTTCTAGTATTTTCTTTTTTTCCCCCATCTAACCTTTCGCCATCTAGCAACAAATAGTAGCCTCCCATGATTACTCCTTGGTCAAAGCAGCCGCAAAGGCCGTGCTTCACCATCCTCACGGCACGCCTCTGCGGCGCATCTCCGTGCTGCTGAGACTCACCTGCCCCAAATTTCCGATCCATGCCGCTGCAAACTATCATCATGGCCCTGATCCACACTGCCGCCGTCGCCGTCGCCGTCGCCCCCATCTCCGCGCTGCTTTCCTCACACCTCTGCCCATCCGCGAAGATGTGATGCCTACTACTATGCATCGACACCCCGGCCTTTGATCCATCAAGATGCATTGCATCCATGCCTGTCCTCGACACCAGCCCTTGCATACTGCTGCGCTAGGGCATCCATGCCTTCTGCTCACTCCGGCATTCATGTTTATGAAATTATTATTTTTTAGATTATTTCTTTTGGCAAAATCTTCATTGATTCCACAGGGGACATGGCTCCACGGGTGACTCGCCGAACTGTTGCTGAAATTGATAGAGAATTTGATGAGTTGACCTATGCTTTATCTGATCCAAGGGAGCAGTTGATCACCTCTGGTATAGGATTCATACACTCAGTTCCACTAAATAATTTCTGTGCATAAAAAAATTTGATGTATTGTAGCATGTCACATAGTCCAATGTTTCAATTATGCTTAGGAAACTTACATGATCTTATACCAAGGTAATAAGGTGTATCTTCTAGTTATGATGAACTCAATATCTTAATATTGATACTGATTCCATTAGTCTCCACCAATTGCACTGTAAGCTAACCAAAGCCTGTTAGTTCTCATACAATTGAATGCACCATGACTTGTTCATACGTATGAACTGGAGCAACTATGAACACTTGTGGCTTGTATTCTTGTTGGTATAAAAATCCTGCTTTTATAAAATGTTTACTCCTACAGGGGAAAGAACAAGCAGGTTACGTCCACGTGCCTCTCGAGCTGACAATACAAGTGATCATTTGGATTCAGATGAGGCCATGGATGAAAATATTCAAATAAATGCTGCAGCACACAACACTGAAGGTGCTTAGCTAATATGAAAATCTTTCTGTACACTATTGTTCATTTCACTAAATTGCCTAGGCTCACTTTCAGTAGGATCTGTTATTTTAGAAAACCACCAAAGTAACTAGGAACTGTTATACTATGTGAATTTGTTTATGTACAGTACAGAGTAGAAATATGAAATATTACATCTAATTATTGTTGTTTCCCCCCTATATTAACTAGACCCTGCTAAGAAGAGTGGTAGAAAAGTTACAACCAACGATCAACTTCGCAAGAGAAGAGCAAAAGGAAACAATATTGATATAAAGTTCCCTAATGAATTTGCAAAAGTGTGTGGAGAACATGCTAGTTTATTTAAATGTGAGATAACAGTTCTTGTAAGAACTGTACCACTCCAAGTGAATTTTCATATGAAATAAATATATTTGGCATGCATAGGTTATCATTGCATTCAATGGCTGCTTATTACATCATATCATTGTTGTACAACAAAAGTTTCCTGAGCTTTCAGAAGAAGATAAAGATTGTGCGATGAGACAAGTAGAGAGTCAATACAATAATCGACGTTATCGTCTACTTCAAGCTTACCATAACAAGAAGCCAAGGCCACAAATATGTCTCACCGAAGGTTGGCAATGGTTGATAAGGAATTTGTGGATGATGATGATTTTCGGTATATACTACTCGTCCTAAATTACAATGCTACATTATTGTAAATGACACATTTATGCAATTTATAAACTAGAAAAGGAGGAACCAAAACTCTATCAATAGAGGAAAGCAAGAGATGGGGTCCAAAGTAGGAACTAGATCAATTGCTCAAATCGCTTATGATCCGGTGAGAAAAAAAAGTTACCAGCAGATTTTTATTTGCTACAAATTGTTCGAATTAGTGAATACATGCTTTTTATTCCAACGTAACGAGACCCAAAAACTGGTGAATGGCCTCTTGCTATACAAGTTTGGAGGGCTACATATCAAAAGGCGATGGGACATGGTCCATTCCAACGGGTGAAGAAATAATGGTATGAACATGTCAATTTGTATCCTACCTTTTGAACTAGGATTAGGTGCAAGTGATGTGTTTTGTATGAAAAATACGCTAATAGAATTCAGATGACTCTTTCATGGTTATTATCTCTGTAACATAGTTTACGATGTATTGTTCATTTAATGAGTTGAAAAGTCTAAGCACTATGATGTGTTTGCAATATCTCTAATCATGAACAATATTGTTTTATTGAGTTGTTTGTAAATTTCACATATTATTTAATTTGTGCTGCATTTTTCATTTATTAGATAACATGTCTGATTTTGTTTTCAACACCAAAGAACTCTCGAGAACATTTGCATTACACTATCCTATAGCTAATTAATTTGTGCTCATACTTATGATTCATTACATGAACGTTTTTGGCTGCTGCTTAGTATATGGGTTCTTAATTGGTTTGTTGTTTCATGCTTTGCAGACCAAGCTACAGGAAGCTGCTAGGATACATCAAGAAAAAATTTCTTCGACGCCGGTGTCCATAGTGGAGCACTTCGCACTAGTTCTTGGTCGAAAGCCAAACCATTCATGTGGTGTTGGCATTCGTTCTATAAACCGAGTGGCTGAGGAAAGGATCAAACTGCAGGCGCAAATTGAGGCTTCTGAACAGCATGAAGCTGCAGCTCAAGCACGTGCAGATGCTGTTGAGCAACGTGCTGAGGCTGCTGAGCAACAGGCACAAGCTTTGGAAGGCCAAGTTTCCACGGTGGTCGAAACAAATGCACACCTGCAAGAAGAGCAGCAATCCCAACGTGATGAGCTTACTTCTTTGCGTCAAGCACATAGTGGAGAAGTTGCTCGTCTAGTGAGAGAACAACTTGATAATCAAATGGCTGAATTAATCGCACGCATACATTCTGGTGCCTCGTAGCCTCCAACATCTTAGAGTTTAAACCCTTTAGTTGAATAATTATTGTGAGACATTAAAGTAGTGTCAAGATAGTTATTTTGAGGGTTGTGAGTGTTCTCAAATTTGTGTACTGCTTGATTGCCAAATTTAAATTACTGAAATAAATATTATTCATGCAGATTTGAGAGGATCATATTGCTATAGTGTACATCTGTTTGAGTTCTTTTTGTCACTATAACAAGGATAATAATGATGACTCGGTGGCCACAACAACTAATATGTTTCACACAATTGAAACTTACCTTGTGACAAAACTTGTCTAAACTAATATTTTCCTACAAATGCTATGCTTTTTTGTGATGAAACTATTGATACAATTTGTCTTGTCAATTCTCACAAAAAAATAATTTTGTGTGACAAAGGTTTGCCACTGTAACTTACATGTGAGGATGAGTTTGCATCACAAATGAAAAGTATTTGTGTTAACATGTTACCACATATTGTGGCAAACCATTAGACACAATTATAGTTAAATAGTGAGAACAAGCATTGACACGATAAACTCATGTAATGGCAAAACTTCTGTCACTAATATGTAGTCTCTAGTGACCATTAATTTTGCCACTTTTACAATGGTAATTGTGACAATTATATTGCCATAAATTCTGTATAGTTGTGTCAACTATTATTACCACTACAAACATTATAAGTGGCATGATTTTTTGCCACTAATGCGTATATTTTTGTGACAACAAATGGTCCACAAATGGCCACGTTACAGTGAAAGCACAATTTGTCACTAATGAGTATGACTATTTGTGGGGAACAAAAAATCATCACTAGAGTATCTGTGAGGCGAGTATTTGTGGTGACTAGTGGCGATTAAAAAAATCACCACCAAGGCTGATTTGTGGCGAAGAAAAGAGGCTTTGTGATAAAAAAATTTCGCCACAAAAACCCTTTGCCCTTGTGGTGTTACTGTAATCTCGTAAATTATCATGGTAATTATCGTAACTCAAAGTAGTCACAGAATAAGTTATTCTATGGCCAGCTGCAGAACAGTAGTTCTATATATATATATCCTTATCATATGAGTCATACTAGCATGTCAAGATCGTGTAGATTGCTACGCTAAGGATCCGGTAGAAGTCAAGCGATTACCTGTCACTCGCGAGAGATAGAAAAGATATTATTGTTGTTATTATATTACTATCACATGAATATATATGGAGGATAAATGAGAGACCGAGGCAGAATGGTACTTTGGATCTGTACTTGGTTAGGCATTCGGTGAGGCTTGGATTGCACTTGTTCCGCCTGTGTCGATTGAGGACCGTCCGTTGCTGTGGATGGTAGTTAGGTCACATATTTATTATCCTGAGCACATACTTGCTTATGAGAGCGGGAAGGCTCGTTGCGCTCTTGTCGTGGGTTCCGACTCTTTCCGGACCGACTGGTTGAAGGCAGGAAAAGGTGGAGGTCTAAGCACCATGTTGAGACGGGGTCTCAAGTGTGGGGGCTTGGAGTCTAAGTTTGGACGGAGACTTGGACCCCTCAACAGAAGTGAAATGGGTTGGTCTTGTTTGTGCCTGAGATATAAACGGGGCGTGTGTTTTGGGGTACCCAGCTGTGATATATTGATTCGTGAATCACCGTTTCTATGAGACGGCACCGACTTGGCTATGGTCTAGCACCATATTAAGAACTGGAACTTAAAATATGATAAAATGGTTCTGATTACTAACTACCGTTTAAAAGTAGCATAAGTGCTTATATAAAATGGATAGTTAATGAACTAATAATGACTGCTAATAAAATTTAATATAATGACGTACATTTAGTAATGCTTGGAGTCTTTTATTTTTCTTCTATCAGGTAAGTCTTGCTGAGTACAATTAGGTACTCAGGGTTTTATTTCCCATGTTGTAGGTGACCGATGGATGGTAGACGACTTTTGTGTGTGAAAACCTTATGATGGGCTCAGAGAGGATTCTTTTCACGCTACGACCATAGTGTTTATTTATAACCCTCACCAAAAAAATTTGAAGAAATGTTTTATGATTCACCATTAATCTTTGTTTTCGCTGTACTGATCATATGTTGTTCTCCGTTGTAAAATAAAAATATAAACCTAAAAAGTATAAACTCTTTTACATGTAAAACTCTTTTAATTTCGCTATTGCATTCAACTTGTTTAAGTACTATAATATTGTAATAAAGTGATGTAAGAAATTATTAAGAATATCGTAAGTTTTATTCTCTCATTTATGATCCTGATAGAAAATGTGGATTTTCGAGTTCTCCCTTAGAGTGTGCTCGACGAAACAATATGATTTAGTGCACTCTCTTGGATACTTAGTGCCTAATAGAAGACAACTACTCTTGGGAGGATATTAGATTAGACGGTTCTGCCACACTATTATTATACAACAGTTTTTCTAACACTCATTTTGTTTTGGACATCATCATCTAAACTCACCTTAAAGTTTGGCCCACTAGCCTAGCTCGAGGATAGTTTTCTTCCTTTTTCAATGGAAAAAGTCCACATACCTTCTCAACTTTCGTGGCAGTCCGTTTTTCCTTCCTGAACTCTAAAACCGGACAAAACACCTTCCTCAACTTTTAAAACCATTTATTTTACCTACCTGGCCCTGTAATAAACAGTTTTGAATGCGGTTTTGTCTTTTTCTTTTTTATTTATTTCGGTTGAATCTTTGAAAAATCATAGTAAAACACAGAAAAATCATAAAATAGAAAATCTAATTTTGTTGGACTCCATATGAGTAGATTTACACAGTGAACATATAATATGATATGCTTTAGTACAAAATTTTTGCTGTGGCTTTAAATCTATACTTTTTCGTAATTAATTGAAATAATTCACAGCTGCAGTTCTATGGTTCAATTGTGATGAAATTTTTATGGTGGGCTAATTATTATATGATTGAACTATAGTAAAAAATTTATACTCATTGAACAATGTATAGCTTAGTTATAGATTTATTTATATTTAACAAGAATAAACCTAAATAAATTCTATAACTAAGTTAGACATGATCTAATGAGTATGAAAATTTTACTATAGTTTAAGCATACAATAATTCGATCACCATAAAAATTTCACCACAATTGAACCATAGAAACTGCAGCTATAAATTATTCTATTTAATTACAGAAAAGAATAGATCTAAAGCTACAACAAAAACTTTGTACTAAAGCATACCATATTATATATTCATTGTATAGATGTATTCATGTGGAGTCCAATAAAATTATATTTTCTATTTTATAATTTTTCTGTGATTTATTATGATTTTTCAAAGATTCAGCCGAAATAAATAAAAAAGAAAAAGATAAAACCACCTTCAAAACTGCTTATAACAACAGGGTAAGGGAGAGAAGATGAAAGATTTTAAAAGTTGATGGAGATGTTTTATCCAATTTTAAAGTTCAGCAAGAAAAAACGAATTTTTGTGAAAATTGAGAAAGGTAACGTAGATTTTTCCTTTTCCAAATTTAGAGTACGTACGGTTGACTCCACTTTGGCCCACTAGCCCGGGATTTAATTTAAGCGGCGGGAGCAGCACCGGAAGCGCTTTCTCCCGCTAGACATCGTGCTGGAGATCGCGGCGCGCTCCGACCTGGCGACGCTCGTCCGGTGCGCTGCCACATGCCGCGACACGCGCCGCCGCGTCGCGGCCGACCAGTCCTTCCACCGCCGCCTCCGGCTCCGGCACGCCGCCGACGGCCGCTTCGTCCCCTCCCTCCTGCGCGGCCACTTGGTGATGCTCGAGAGGTACCACGGCAGCTGCCTCACCGGGGTTGAGAACTTGAGATGCACCAGGTGGATGTCACCGAACCGGGTACCGAAGCGACGGCGAGGCTGCTCTCCGCCGCCGAGGGCTTCCCTCCTAACCCTGACGGCAAAGTCATCATGTGGCATAGGCCCCTGGCGTGGCGCGACGGCCTTTTCCTTGTCCGCACGACTGACCTTCCCCGCCGGTACGACGAGCTCCGCGTGTGCGACCCGGCCACCGGCTGCAGCCAGACCCTCCCTCTCGAGCCAACGTTCCCTGGAGATGCAGAGAAGTGCTGGCAGCCACCGTGGGCTGCACAAAAGCGATGGCAACCGTATGTCTTGCTCGGCGACGACGGCGGCGGCGGAGGCATCCGGCCGTTCCAAGTGATCAAGACGAACCTCGTCATGTCCGAGCACCACCGCTACCTGGAGACCCAGACCTTCTCATCGGAGAGCGGCACCTGGGGCACGTACGCCAAGCTCCTGGCTCCGTACTTCCATGGTAGCTCGTTGCTACGAGGAGGACTGCCGCTGGTTGTCGGCGGCGCGGTGCACTGGCTGTGCGTAACCGACGCCGCGAGCTACGTCCTCATGCTAAACATCAGGACGACGCCGGCACAGGTGTCCGTGACGACGCTCCCGGTGAGCTTTCCTCGTCCCAATAATAAGGTGTCGTTAGATTACCTTCTGGCAACAGCAACGGCCGGCGGGAGCATGATGGTGCTCGTCGCCGACGGCGACAAGATCTCCGCCTGGGTGCAGACGGCGACGAAGCCGACGGCCAAGTGGAAGCCGCGGCCGGAGGTGGTGGTGGAGTACGAGGCGTTGCTGCGGTTCAGGAACGTTGCCTGGCCGGGGAGTTTCCATGTCCGGCTGCATTGGTTCGACGAGAGGAGTGGCTTCGTGCTTGTCTACGTTGGTTTTACGTACGGTTACTTCTGGCTGGACCTCCGATCCAAGAAAATTGTACGGTGCTTTTCCGATCCTCGTCTCACCGCAACCTCGGTTTTGGTTGTATGATTCAGGGCACTCGATCAAGGTCCGACTCAATCGTTGGGCCGAGTCGGACGAACACTAACACTGGCACCGTATTTGTTCCATACGAGACGGATCTATCATCTTGGGTTCCAACATTTACTAGTCCATTTTGATTGCTTCAGCTTTACCTAAGCTAACGCTCTTTCAGCTCTAGTGTGATATCACTACGACTTTGTGTCCATGTCTGAATCCTAGTTTTATAAACTATATCATGTTCAATTTCTTAATGCCATTTATATAATGGGGAATTTTGCTATGGGACACTGGGAAAACATGTAATTGGCCGGCACACATCGCCAAACCGAGAATTTATCAAAAGACGCCGCAAATTTGTGGTTCTTTTCCCAGACACACCGCACCGATTATTTTATTCATATCTCAGTTTTAGGGAGAGAGAATGTGGGAGAAATGTCGTCTTTGCCCTTGTCTTCAACCTCTGGCCGGCGCGACCATGACTGGACTGGGGCTGGGCCTAGAGAGGGCACGGGCCGAGCGTCTCCTCCACCACGCCTCGAGGCCCGGATCGAGCGGCCCCTTCTCCACGCCTCGCCCAGCACCACCGGATCCACGGCCGGCTCTGCACCGCCTCGCCCAGCACAATCGCCTCCCTACTGCCGCCGGCTCCGCACCGGTGGCGGCATGACTACTCGGCGGCCCTGTGGAAACAGAGCGGCGCACACAATGAGCGAACCACGCCAAGGGTGCGCGGCCCGACCTGCGGAGGTCAAGGGCGGCGCTCTCAAGACAGCAGCAGCGCGCAGCGACGGCCGCGACAGCTCTTCCCGCCACCATGGCGCTCGCACGACGCACTAACAGAGGGGAGAGGGGAGGGAGAGGGCGCAAGGCGATTGAGGAGGCGCCGGCGTCATCAAGGCCGTCGATCAAGCGCGCCACCTCTCCACGACAGCTCGCGCCGCCACCATGGTGCTCGTCGTGACACACGCACTAAGAGAGAGGCGCGGGAGGGAGAGAGGCGAGAGGAGGAGGGAGTGTGAGGGCGAGTGAGGAGGGCGCCGCTGGCATCGGAGGAGTAGATCGGAGGAAGAGGATCCGAGCGGCAAGTGGGGATCTCACCGGCCGACCAATGACCAAATCGGTGGCGGCGTGTGTTACAGCAAATAATTAGCAAACGTCCGGAGGTTGAAGACAAGGGCAAAGACGACATTTCTTCCACATTCTCTCTCCCTAAAACTGAGATATGAATAAAATAATCGGTGCGGTGTGTCTGGGAAAAGAACCATAAATTTACGGTGTCTTTTGACAAATTCTCGGTTTGACGGTGTGTGCCGGCAATTACATGTTTTCCCAGTGTCCCATAGCAAAATTTCCCTTATATAATTGGTAGAATACACATACGTTTAGCGGCTGATGGATAGAGCATCTTCTAGAGAATAGGTAAAACTTGAATCTAAAGGTCTGTTTAGATCTTTCATCTAAACTTTAGAGCTCTAAAAATTTTAGAGCACTTTAGCTCATTCTAAGGTCTAAAACTCTAATATGAGGTGAGCTAAAGTTTAGAACCTACTTTAGACTAACTGTTTGGAGTTTTAGTTCTAAAGTTTGGGGTAGAGGATCCAAACAAGCCCTAAATTACAGGTTTTGAGACTCTTAAAAAATAGCTCTCTAAAAATAAGTATTCTCCAACAGACTCTTCATTCATCGCATTGTCTATTTTCCAGAACTACCACATCATATAACTACTACTTGCATATTTTGGATCCAATCTTGTACAGCCGCCAAACCGTTTTCTCACTAGATTTTTTTTTTTTTGGGTAAAAATCCAAGTTGTCACCGGCCAACGCCAGGTACCTCGCTCATGAAGTAGGGACCTGTTTAGTTTGCGCCGATCATACGCCATCTGGCCAGGCAGTGTGTTCCCAGGCGTCCAATTTTGGATGTCTAGGGCTGCGATTGATGCCTGGCCTGGCTAACGGTGTCCAGACACGCAACCAAACACGCCCTAGATGCAGACCCTGTGCAACCGCTTCAACTGTCAAGCGGCAGGCGAGGAGTGGCAACAAGCCGGAGAGATGCTGCCTCCGTGGCTGACGGAGGAGGACGCAAAATTTGTATCTTTGATCATAGATTAAAAAAACTATACAAATTCATGACATCAGATTTATAGTTTTAGATTCACTATGAAAAATACTTTCATAATATAATTCATAGGTTGTAAAACTATAAGAATTTTAAAAAAATGAATGGTCAAAGATAATAATGTTTGACTTAGGAAAAATCTAATGTGACATGTTAAAAAGAACGGAGGAAGTACTACCGCGACATGGACCGGAACTAAGAGATGGCAGCGCCACTGTGGGCGGACACCAAGGTTCAGCTGTGGAGGTGACCGCTTCATCGCCGGTGACGGCAACCTCGCCTACCACTGCATTTTTTTTTTCGAGAGAGCTTGCACGACAGGCGGAGAGGGAGGCCACGAGAGCGCGTGATGGCGGGCGCGGGGGTGCCCGCGAGGGCACGCGTGACGCGACAGCTGGTGGGGGGGGGGGGAGGCCATGTGGGCACGAGATGTTTTCTCGCTTCAGTTAGGAGGTAGCGGCGGCTGAAGAGGTTGAACGCTAGGTTTTCAGGGGTTAGGATTCAGGATGGTGCCAAGTGGGGATATGTCTAATTAACAGGTGCACTGGGCCGTTAACTTGCTGGACTCTCCTTTGCAGACTAGGTAATTCGGGTACTGGGAATACTACCCGAACTCCCCAAACTAAATTAGGGTCTTTAGAATTGGTATCCAAGGTACTTCGGGTATTGGGTATCACGTATTTTTGCTAGTCCTAACCGGGGCGGCAGGATGACGACAAAGATGTTGGTGGCGGACAGGGGGTGATCTGCATCATGTCCTGACGATTGTGCTAGGGGGGAAACTTGGGCGAAAGCCTTGGTGACGGTGACGCCAGTGGGTGCCGCTTTCCCTGTTGGGGACGTCATGTTCCCCTATAGCATTGTCTTCCAAGGGTGGAAACCCTGTCTATTTTTTGGACAAGCGACGGCTCCACTTTCGACGTCCTGAAGGCGTCGTTGTTGGAATTCGTCTTGGTTTTGATGGATGTCACCTTTGGTGGTTTGCCCTTCACTTCTTGGTGCCCGCTTGACGTGTGGGGGTTGGTCTTACATCGTGAAGTCAGTGCTGCTGTGTCAAGGGATGTGGCACGACAAGGATGACACGGAACAAACACTCCTTCCTCGACGACTTTGTGTCTCTTACCAATGCCGGCCAAAGCGGATCATCTACTTGTACTCATTGGTCCAACATTCCCGACATCCATGATCAGACATAGCCCCGACAAGTAGCTCCACCACCCGGGAGCGGCACGCACTGCACCATGGCAGCAGATTGATGCCTATATGCACCGAGGCTGGGTGCATACTGTATGCATATAATTTTCTTCCGTGCAGCGTGGGAGTCGTGCGCGAGAGGAGGGACGAGTGGGGCGCGCTCGGATTTTTGAGGTCGGGCAGGGTCGACGGACAAGATGTTGACAAAACTGCTTAGCAGACGGACAGACACTTCCTTCTTCCTACGATAGAGATTGCCTTTGCCAAATTGTCTAATTATATGCTATAGTTTTAAATTACAATAAAATTTTGTTATTTTTTATAATTTTAAATGTATATTTACTGCTATAGTGTAAACCATTTAATCAATCGTCTTAATACATCATCTAAACACTAAACGAAGGTGACTAACCGTCTAGCGTTTAACATCTAATTTGTTCTAGCTTCATCGCTACAGTCGGCAAACCAAACATGAGCACATGTACGCACTAGACCAGCTCTGGCTGTTCTTTTTTTTTAGCAGAGTTCTTTTTTTTTTGTTGAGCAGAGTTTTTTTTTTTTTTTTAGTGTAAGCTCTGGCTGTCCTAAAAAATTCATCCCAGGCCTGGGGCAAATTTTGATCATGGGTCTAAAATCCCAAAACGAGTCCACTTTGGCCCACCAGCATGGCCCAACTAGCCCATGCGGGTCGTGGCATCCACCGAGAGTCCGGATATAAACTAGGGGAACGCACGGCCGCCGCCACCTCGTTCGTTCCCGGTTGGATCAAATCAAAGGAACCATGGAGGGCGGCAGCGGCGGCGACGTCGCCAGGCCGGGAGTTGAGCGGCGGGAGCAGCACCAGAAGCCCTTTCTCCCGCTAGACATGGTGCTGGAGATCGCGGCGCGCTCCGACCCGGCGACGCTCGTCCGGTGCGCCGCCACATGCCGCGACGCGCGCCGCCGCGTCGCGAACGACCGGTCCTTCCACCGCCGCCTCCGGCTCCGGCACGGCGCCGACGGACGTTTCGTCCCTCCCTCCTGCGCGATCACTTGGTGGTGCTCGACAGGTACAACCGCAGCCGCTGCCTCACCGGGGTCGAGGTGCACCTGGTGGACGCCACCGCCGCGCCGGGCACCGGAGCGAGGTCGAGGCTGCTCTCCGCCGCCGAGGGCTTCCCTCCTCACCCTGACGGCGGCAAGTCCATCATGTGGCACAAGCCCCAGGCTTGGCGCGACGGCCTTTTCCTTGTCCGCACGTCTGACCTTCCCCGCCGGTGCGACGAGCTCCGCGTCTGCGACCCGGCCACCGGCCGCAGCCAGACGCTCCCTTCCGAGCCTACGTTCACGGGAGATGCGAAGAGGCTACATCCGTGGGCTGCTACGGCTACAGAAAAGCGTTGGCAACCGTACGTCTTGCTCGGCGGCGGCGATGGTGAGGTCGGCGGCGACGCCAGCGGCATCATCCGGCCGTTCCAGGTGCTCAAGGCGAACCTCGTGATGTCCGAGCACCACCGTTACCTGGAGACCCAGACCTTCTCATCGGAGAGTGGCACGTGGGGCACGTACGCCAAGCTCCGCGCCCCCCACTTCCATGGCAGCACGTTGCTACAAAAGGGAGGCGGAATGCCGCTGGTGGTCGGCGGCGCGGTGCACTGGCTGTGCCTCACCGACGCCGCGAGCTACGTCCTCAGGCTCAACATCAGGACGAC